AAATATATATCACAAGAAAGTAAGTTTTGTATTTAATCTTCATCAATAATCATTTGATGATTTGATTTTATTCATATAAGAGATGATGGTTTATTCTAAGTCAACTGTCCTTTTCCTTTTGAATTCATATTTTGGTCTAATTTTTTAATAATGAAAGCAGAAGCTCATAAGATATTAAAATAATAAGAGATTTTTCTCAGCATTTTTAAATATTGATAGAAATATTTTATTATTTTTTTTAGATTATAAATCAGATTATTGCTTATTTTTTGAGATCTAAAATCTATAAATTAAATAGAAAAATGACAGTTATTACACTAATTCATTTAAATTTTTTAGACTTGATTAATTTGATGATAAAATCACTAAATAAATCTATACTATATACATATCTATTTTTTGTAATATTAACTTCAAGTCAGTATAGATTATAATTTTGATTTTTGTAACAAAAGTGTGCAATAAAAAGGGAATTAAAATAATATCATTAGATAAGAATCAATAAGACATATTTGAGAGATATAATTTTATTTAAATTGAATTTCATAATGTGAAAATAATTACTCATTAATTCATCTGTATTCAATTTCATAAACTTAAAAGCCTAATCTTTTTTCATTCCATATTACTAAATATCTTCCATTATTAGTTATATTACCATAACATAAAAATGTTTTACAATCAATAGGATCACAAGAATATATTAAATTTGAATTTGAACTTTATTTCATAAAATATATATATCTGTTTGACTTGAATACTAAGACTTTTTATTACTCTAAATACTTTAACTAAAAGAAAGTAATATCATTTTTTGGGTCTTCTGAATCTTTTGAGACTTCGGCGATAATTTCTTTTAATTGCACTTTCAAATTTTAGCATTGTGAAAATTTTCCATTTTACAATTTGAATACTTGTAAAAATGGTTAACTATATTAACATTAAACAATTGTATCATCTTATAAAAAACCTATTCTTAATCCATAATCATTTGTTGATTACGCGACATTACATTTAAATTTCCATTTATTATTTCCATCCTTTTCCCATAAAATGATTTTTTTATCTCGCCCACAAGATACCATTTATGTTTCTGTCGAATTTAGATCTACTTTATCGACAAAGCTCTTGTGTTCTGACAGTGAATATTTATATTCAATTTTATTTGATTTGCATTCAACTTTCCATACCTTTATTTTTGAGTCTGCACTGCTAGATATTAATTCATCTTCATTTTTATTTAAATACAAACATAAAATAAATTATTTATGCTATTTTACTGATACAAAGCTTTCCCATTAAGATTTTCCTTAATTATTTACTCTTTCAATCCAACTTATTATTTGATTATTCTTATCACCTGATACTATCCAATTCATTTTCTTACTAAATACAATACAGAAAACATCATTTTTGTGACCAGTCAATACAGTTTCTTTATTATTCAACTTTCCTTCTTAAAATTTCCAAATAATAATATTTTGATCACTTGATGCAGCCATTAGAGAGTTATCATGATTAAAATCTAAAGCACGAGAGAATTATCTTTAATATGCTTCATGAATCAATCGATATTCTACTCTATCTGATTTATTTAACTAATTAATAACTACTTGATTTGATTCTCTTTACTATTATTCGAAAAAAGATTTTGAACTTTAAGGAATTTCTTTAATGATAATTGAATCTTCGTACAAATTCTATAGTTAGTCTTAAATGAGATTTTATAAAGAATCGATTTTCTTATATATCTTAGTCTAATATTAATCTTTGAATTTCTATATTCTTTATTAAAATTATTATTTCTCTTATTCTATTAATTTATCCAATTATATAATCACCTTATCAATTTCATTCAATAAACTATATTATTTATAGCTATTTTTTAGTGTTTCCAATTCTTACATCCAAATTTCTAAATTACTTTGAATTTCATCTATAGTTAATAACAATTGTTCTTTCCATTACGAAATTTTATTTTTAAATGATTACATTTTTATTTAATTTTATAGAAAGAGATTCAAAATTTCATTATAAATTTTGCTCCTCATTTATTGTATTTTACTTATTCCTTAAGTTAAAGATATTCCATTAAAAGGCCTTAAATTATTTTAAATACATTATTAACAAGCTAATCTTTATGCTCCAACAAAATCGGTATCTAATAATATCGTAATGACCGGATTTTGAGAATGCTTATTTGCACATTAAAGCTTTTCTTCATTCTCTATCATTTTACAATATTCCATTTCTTTAACAATATAAATTAATAATAAATAATTATATAAAATTATCTTGATGTAAAATATTTCTTTATAAATGTTATTTCAAAAAATTTTTGTATTTTAGTGTTAGTGACTGATATATCTAAATTCTTTAAAACCATTTTGATAAATAATAACTTCATCATTTTGTCCTCAAATATTAATATAAAATTATGATTTTTTAAATATATTGTTTGATTCCCATCCTTAGTCTTTAAATAGCTATATTGTCTGATGCTAAAGAATTTCTATATTTTTAAAAATAAAGCTTCTAATTAAACATTTATCAGAAATGTAAAAAGTGAATAGTAGTTTAAATTATCTATTTTTTCCTGTAAAATTCATTAAATGAAACTTTTGAAATAGACAAATTGTTACTTATACAATATACTTATAAAAAAAATAAAATGGTTTTTCAATTTTAAAGAAAAGTATTTTAACTATTAGATATGGAACAATAATCATTTTAGATGGAAGACTTTTGGAGTTAATAAGGTCTATAATTAAGAGAGCTCAAATATTTCAATATTCTTTTATTAATTAATTATTGAAAATACAGATATAATTAATATCAGAAATTTAATATTATTAAGAATTTCCTAAAAATACTTAAATCTTTTATAATATGAAACAAATTAAATATTAATTATTAACTTGCTCAATCAATCCTAACCTAATAAATCATGTTAGATAAATTCAATACCAATACTTTTGTAAATAAAGGCAATTAATTAATAATTACCTGCCAATTCTTGATCCTTTTTCAAATATTACATTATGCATAATCAAAAATTATTTACGAAGATCTATTTAGTAGTTTTCAGGATAGTAAAAATACTTTAATATTGTTTAAGAATGGTCTGCAAAATTACATGGAGATTGCACTAATTAAGAAGTATCGTATTTCTCAAAGTAAGAATGCTCAGCCTATAAAATATTGTTGATAAAATAATGTTCAATTTTTGAATATCATCATTTGATATTTAAAAATTTTGAGCTTTAACCTCACTATCAATTAACATTAAAATTAACTTTTTTGAGGTGATAATATAGTATTTAATTTTTAGGTAAGTGCCTTCAATTGATCCTGAATTTTTTGTTTACATAGATGGCAGAATTGAACACGAATAAAAGTATACAAATTCTGTTGATTCGAATGATTCTTGCGTATTAAACAGTGATAATTATCAACTTTTTCCTATTTCTATAACGACTCAGCATTCAAGTACATCTGTTACTATAGCCATGATTGCTCAAAAAGGATTTTGGGGAATAACCAAATTTTAATTATAAATTAATGAGTGTTCAAATGAATGTGATTCCTGTAATATCAATGGATGTTTAAATTAAGAAATATATATGAAATCATTTAATTCATTAGACTTTTTTCTAAATGTTAATGAAGGATGGTCAACTCAAGGCACTACTTATAGTGTTACCAATATTGATGAATGCTTAAGTAAATTAAATGTTATTATATAGAGTTTAAGTATCTAGTTTCCAATAGATATCATTTAATTAAATTTTTTGAGTTAGATTATCATTATTCAATAAGTTTTGAACTAAAATTGCTAATTTTTAAGCTATAATAAAAAAATATACATATTTATATTGATGATGTTTTAGTAAATACAATTAATAATGTTAATTAAAAACTAAAATTTGCAGTTGATTTATGTAATAGCATTTCTATGTAGGAAATAAATATAGTTTAATATCAACATCTTAAAACATAATTAAAAATAGAAATTAAAGTTGAATTTTATGATAATACTAATATTATAAATCCATATATAGGAATTAGAGATTTTTAATTATTTCTCAGAAAAAGATCATTTGATGATGGATGCTTTGATAATAATATTGATCCTTTTGATGGTTGTTTTTCGAATAATTATGATTGTATTCAAGGATGCGGAATTTGTATTAAAGGTATTTGTTATGGTTGTTTGGTTGGATGGGAATTAGATCAATAGACTTAAATTTGTATTCCTTATTGTGGAGATGCTATTATTACATTTAATGAGGAATGTGATGATGGTAATCAAAATCCTTATGATGGATGTCATGAATGCAAATATTCTTGTGATAATAATTGTAAGAAGTGTGAATTTGGAAAATGTTTGGAGTGTGAAAATTAACATATATTATTAGAAGGTAACTGCTATGAAATCTGTTCCGATTAAGACAATATGAAATTTAAAGAAAATGTGGGATGCTTTGATTTTATTAAAAGTGAAGGATACTAATAACATTTCATTTTTAATAATTTAAATTTAGATGGGAGTTTTTTAGATTGTAATCCATTAAGTTTCGGAGTATTTGGATATTAATATCACCAATGTAAATTTGGATTAATTAGTAATTGTAAACTTTAAAAGTATGGAAAATGTTTGGAATGTTTAGATGGATATGAATTTGATTTTCATAAAAATCAATGTATCCATAAATGTTTAGATGAAATAATATTATATTAAGAAATTTGTGATGATGGAGTTTAATTGGATGGCTGTTACAAATGCTAAAAAAGTTGTTAAATAGAATGTCTATTTTGCTTTTATGATAAATGCTATCTTTGTCAAGAAGGTTGGCAACTTCAAGATTATTCATGTAAATAAATCTGTGGAGATGGCTAATTAGCAATCTTATCTAACGAATAATGTGATGATCTTGAAGATGCATATTGTGTTAATTGTAAATATCAATGTAATCCTGACTGTGAGATTTGTGATAAATTCTAAAATTGTGAGATTTGCAAATCTCCTTTAATTAATATAGATGGAAAATGTTTACCAGTTTGCGGAGATAATATTGTTACTCCTGTTCTTGAATAATGTGATGATGGCAATGATATCCCATATGATGGTTGTTATAAATGTGAATTTTAATGCTCTTATGGATGTATTAAATGCGAAAAGGATAATCATTGTTTATAATGTTTAGACTCAAATTTTTATTTGGATACTTATTCTTTTCAATGTAAAGAATTACAATCCCAAATTGAACCAAAACCAGAAGATGATAAAAATATATATATCTATTGTGGTCAGAATAAAGCTCTTATAAACGATGAATGTATTAATTTATGTGGTAATGGAATGCTTCATAGTCATTTTGAATAATGTGATGATGGAAATAATAATGGAGGAGATGGATGTTCTTCCTTATGTAATGAGGAAGATTCTTACATTTGTATTAATCAAGAAAATTAATTAACTCAATGTTCTTTCATATAACAACCTAATTTTAATTTACTATTGCTCTCTGATAGATAAAATCAAACAAAAATAATTGAATTAAAATTCTCTTAAGAAGTTTATTTACAATCTGGGCTTATATTTGAACAAATCATCGAATTTGTTATCCTTCCAAATACTAGGTATGGATTATCTATTGTTCCAATAAATAACATTACTTCTCAATTAAATAATCCTCATTATTAAATTACTGTCTAATTTGATTTACCAGTGACAGATCCAATTTTATAAATCAACATTCAATAATTCTCTATTCTTAATTAATATGATATAGATTTATATACTAATTCCAAAGAAATAAACCTTGGAACCCCTTTTGTATTATCAAAAGTTACTTAAGAAAGAGTAATCTAAATTATCAAATTGAATGATGCATTTGTATATTCATCTGCTAGTATTGCTGGGATTCTTTTATTAACTGGTAATTATATTGTCTTTGTCAATTTATTAGACTTATTATAAACGTTATCTTACATCAGATTTATGCAATATAAATTTCCACCTCATTTAATGTAATTTCTTGAAACTTATACTAAAATTTCCTTAAAACCTATTTTAGATAATTTAAAAGTTGATGAGTTTATTGCAAGAATGAATGGAGGTACTCTGCCAAATTTACAAAAGAAATCATCTTAATCAACATAAACTAATGTTTTAAATTAGTTTTATATAATAAATGCCAAAGGATGTTATTTATCATATATTTTATCTATGCTTACATATATACTCTGTTGTTTAATAACTTCAAATCAAGTTTCAGCATGGGTTGTAAGATTTTTTAAAAATAATGAAGAAAACTTAAAAATTCTACGTTTAATATCAATATTTCAAAAGAAGATCTAATAAACATGTTATAATATAAAGAAACATTATTTCACTTTTGGAGTGTTTTAAGTATTTTATTCAACACTTCATTAATAATTGTTTAGCACACTATTATAATTTCCTTATTATAATTTTGATTCTCCTTTTGAAGTAATTAATAGTATTGCTGCATTAGTGAGCTTAATATTTCTATTTCAAATATTTTTTAAATTGCTATCCATCACAACATCTTAAATTAAAGATAAATAAAAATGGAAATATTTCTTTTAAGATTCAAAAACTGAATATTGGGCAGCTAATTTCAAATCATTTCAAATATATAGAACTGCTTTATATATTATTATTATCACTAAATTTATGAAATATCCTGAAGCACAATCAGTACTACTTTCAATGCAGTCATTATTTTATTCAATCTACTTGATTCACTTTAGACCAATAAAATCAAAATTTTAATTAGCAAAATTAATTTGTAGAGAAGTAACACTATTAATCAACACAGGATCATTTTTACTTTATAGTTTTAAATTAAATGATGTACAATATTTGTTTTTTGGATGGTTGCATATATCGTTATTTTGTTTCTTAATGGGCTTTACATTAATTGTTGATCTTTTGGAGTCAGGGTAAAAAGCCTATTATATACATTTAAAGAAAGTATAAGCTATAGAGAGAATGAATATTTAGAGATATTATGACAATCCATTATAAAAATTTGTTGAGATGAATAATTTAGATATGAAGAAATGAATTATATAATTAATAATTATATATAACTATTTTTAAATTGAATGAATTACGATTAACAAATATCAATTACTATATTGGAAATATTAAATATAATTTTATAAATATATGATAAAAATAAGAATGCATCAATAAAACTTCGGAAAATCAAATTATGATTAATAACTGGTGATAAGGAATGGATAATAGTAATAGTTATCTTTGTATTTAATAATTGGTTATTAAATAATAATAGTTGCTGCATCAAACTAGATCCCAGAATTTAATTTCTAATATTTTACACTTTTAATAATCAAATTAAAGCTCAGTTCTACTAATCAAACATGTCAATAGATATTAAATTGTCATAAGGATATATATCTCCAAGAAAAATTTACGAAGTTGGAAATTAACTTTTTGCTTTTGGAAAGAATAAATAAGTTATACTAAGGATAAAATATTCAATATTAATGGTAGATAAAATCTCTCATATAACTTAATTAAGAATATAAATAATAAGTACTACTATTTTGATTGGCTCTAATTAGAAATTAGTGTCTTTCTCTGGTTATTAATAGTATCCAATGGCATGATTTTTAATTGAAGATATATAACTTATCAAACAAGTCGAAATCAGAATTTATTATCATTAGAACACCAGAATCTATTGGTTGATGTAACTTCTAATCTTGATATTATTAAAATATTAGAATTTTAATTAAAGTAAAATGATTGTGAAATAAGCATTAAATTTTAAATAAGTTTTTATTTCAATAAAAATTTTGGGGTATTATTATAATGAACATAAATGTTATCATATCCTACATTATGTCATCTTTAATTCTTATATTTTATTTAAAATATAAGAATTGAGATAAAATTTATATTATAAATTTATGCATAGATAATTAAATGAAAATATATAGATTTGAATCCTATAATATTAAAATACTTAATCAAACAAATGAAGTTAATAGATTTGATATTTATGTCAATTCTGTTAACTTCATTTGTTTGTTCAAAAACATAATCAATTTTTAATCCATTAAATATTGATTTTAACTTTTTTGTCTAATTCTTTATTATTAATATAAAATAATTAACTAAAATAGCTAGGGTTTTATATAAGACTCAATTTAACTTGTATTATATTATTATTCTTATTGATAAGTTAAATGAACCAAAAATTATAGATTAATGTATTTTTTTGACCTAAAATGATAATAAGAAAGATTATAAATGAAAAAGTATATATTAAGTGAAAAAAAACAAACCTTTAAAATTTAGGGAATTTTTTAATTTTTTTCAACAATTAAATATGTATTGTATCCATAAAATTAAAATAATATAAAATTTATACTTATAATTAAAATATGGAATCAAATGGTTGATCTAAAAGATTAAATTTATAATGAATTTAGAGAATTGATAAATTATCTTATATTGATCTTCATTATTAATTAATTATTCATTTTAATCATATAATGATCCACAATACAAACAATTAATAAGTATAGTAAGAAAACTCTTAAAAATACTTGAGCCATAAGTTACTGTTTTCAATAAGTTAGAAATATCCTGATCATAGTTTTGCTCAAGCTATAAACTATAATAACACTCTAATGGCTTATGGATCTAAATTTATATGCAAAGTAATCTTTTTTAAAAATGAAAATTTTTTAAATGTGCTTCAAGTAAAAAAGCACTAGAATGTAATTTCTACACTAACATTCTTTAAAGATAGATCACAATTAATTTCTGGCTCTTATGATTCATCTATTATAATTTATCCATTGAACTTGCTATCTAGTTCTAAACATTTAACAAAGCTAAAATAACATACACATTTAATAACATGTTTAATTGTGAGTAAAAATTCAGAGAACTTTTTTATCAGTGGATCTCTTGACAAAAATATTAAATTTTGGACATTTTCATCCTAATCTTGTTGGACTTGTACATAAACAATTAGTGAGCATTTGGATTAAGTGAGTGGGTTATCCTTAAATGAAGATGGTAGAAAATTGATTTCTTGTAGTCGAGATAAATAAATTTTTATTATGGAAAGATCTGCTGATTAATTTTGGTATATTAAACAAAAGATATAAGGGAATGGATATCGTATATCTTTTATTACAACAAATATTTTTTCTTTTCAGCCCTATGATGGAACACATTTATATTTATATTCATTTGATACCATTACTGGATAATACATAAAATCAAGAGAACTCTCTATTTCTAAAGGTGGGTAAGGCTGTTAATATTTTTTCCCCTAAATTTACATTTCCTCCAAATAACTCCTAATATCTAAAAATGGTTATTTTGTAAATTTAATAAAATTTAATTTCAATTCTGAAGGTTGGGATTGTAAATTAGAAGAAGAAATAGAATATAATCAATTAGGAAATTTTGGAAACATTTTTGGAACAATAAGCGATAATGGAGAATATTTAGTAACTTGGGATTGCAAATCTGGTCTCCTTTAAGTTAGAAAAATAATATATGAATATTAAAAAGAATGACCTTATATATAAAATCACAAATCCAATATATTATTTTAATATTTTTAAATAATTTTCAAAATTTAAACTTATATATCATTCAATACTATTAAAAGATTTCAAATAAGTAAATGAATTATCTAGAGTGGTTTCTTTATTTATATACAATTATTCAAAAAAGATCTAATTTTGGACTATAAATATATTATGTGATTATATTTGAAATTATTTATAATTGTTAATAATTTATGGTATGAATAGTTTCATCTAAAGAAAGTGAAAATCATATTTATTTTTTGTAATTAAGAATACAAGGGTTTTTTTTAATTGAATCCCAAATGTTATTCAATTAAATAAATAATAAATTTAAGAATTTATTTTAATTATTGTACAATATGGAGATTTTATTTATTTATTTAGGGTGTCTTATTTTTCATGCCAACTCCTAAATAACACAATGCATAGATTAAAAAATTAAACCTATTGTAAATTGCTAAGATTATTTTACACATTGTTTTATTTTAGAAGGAGATGACGAAGATTATACAAAACTTCAACATATTGACACCTAAATTATAAAACCAACTTTCATAATTCCTTTGCAAGAATAACCTGTTGTAATAAAAATTATCGATACTTTTGATGAGAAAAAGAAAATATCAGAAAAACTAATGTGCTACTTATTTCGTAAACTTGAGTATTCTATCATTTGTATAAGTGTTGAATTAGTTTATTAAGATGAATAAATTAATTTTAGTGAGAAGTTTAGATTTAATACAAATATTTAAGCCACTGAACTCTGTGATGAAATGAATATAAATGAAGATGGAAATTTTAATATGTTTTGTTTAAGTCAATTTAGTTTAAAATAATATACCATAAATAAATCTAGTAGAAATGCCACTTTAATTTCTGAGTTTGATATTCCAAACCAAATTTAAGATAGTTGCAAAATAAAATATGTAAAATGGAAGTCAAATTTTTATATTGTTGTATTTTATCAATGTTCTAGATGGAAAGTTTTATTGATTAAAAATACTAAAGTAACAACATTATTAGAAGCTTAAATGAATGACAAAGAGACCTTATTTTAAGGTTTTTCTTTTATTAATGATGTATCCTTTTGTGTATCTAAACAACTTTTTGTTGATATCTATTTGATAGAGAATAATTCATATCTTTAATTAATTTTGAACAATAATTAAAAACTCTTTATAAATTATTTTTCATTTGAAAACATAAAACGTATACAAAAGATAATAGTATAACAGAAATGCTCCATCATATTTATCGTCAATCCATTAGAAGATCACAATTTAATTTTTTTTAATCCTTTAGAACGTAAATAACTCTTTTTACATTAAAAATATTCAAATTATAAAACTTACTTTCATTCTAATATTCTTTTCTTGTAAAATTCAACAGAATTAATTACTATTTTGAACCCTCATTTTTATCAAACTTTTCAAATCAAAAGTACGCCATTACATTTTTTTGAAATTAATAAATTATTCTGTTAATTTGATGAAACACAAAATGCTATATAATTTTATCGATATTATCAATTAAGTAGCTGGATTAAACCTAAATAAAAGTATCTCTATATAATTTAGAGTATAGATTTATTTAGAACTAATACTTTACTATTGTGCTTAAAAATGGTTTATGAAAATAATACAAAATAATAAAATTTAATTTAATATATTACGGTTTAAGATTAATGTTAAAGTAAATTCTAACAAACAATCTAAAGCTCAGAAGTTTAAAACTCATTTAAAAATAGTTCATTAAATTTATATAATCAAGAGGGTAACATAAGTGTAAGTATAGGAAATAATCACATTTTTTTGGACTCCTGTTTAACAAAACTGCAATAATTTCATATTAAAACTAAGATCGAATTGAGATAATTAAATATTCCTGACTTCATAATATTTTAAAATGAAAATTCTTTTTATATCTACTCTTGTAAACAAAATAAATTATTGGTCTAAATCAATAGAAATTAATTTGAAGTACTTGAAGCTAAACAAACATATTTTATAGTAAATAAAAATACATCAAATTCATTAAGAATAATCTAATTTAAAGAAGAGTAGTTGCTCTAATANTACCATAAATAAATCTAGTAGAAATGCCACTTTAATTTCTGAGTTTGATATTCCAAACCAAATTTAAGATAGTTGCAAAATAAAATATGTAAAATGGAAGTCAAATTTTTATATTGTTGTATTTTATCAATGTTCTAGATGGAAAGTTTTATTGATTAAAAATACTAAAGTAACAACATTATTAGAAGCTTAAATGAATGACAAAGAGACCTTATTTTAAGGTTTTTCTTTTATTAATGATGTATCCTTTTGTGTATCTAAACAACTTTTTGTTGATATCTATTTGATAGAGAATAATTCATATCTTTAATTAATTTTGAACAATAATTAAAAACTCTTTATAAATTATTTTTCATTTGAAAACATAAAACGTATACAAAAGATAATAGTATAACAGAAATGCTCCATCATATTTATCGTCAATCCATTAGAAGATCACAATTTAATTTTTTTTAATCCTTTAGAACGTAAATAACTCTTTTTACATTAAAAATATTCAAATTATAAAACTTACTTTCATTCTAATATTCTTTTCTTGTAAAATTCAACAGAATTAATTACTATTTTGAACCCTCATTTTTATCAAACTTTTCAAATCAAAAGTACGCCATTACATTTTTTTGAAATTAATAAATTATTCTGTTAATTTGATGAAACACAAAATGCTATATAATTTTATCGATATTATCAATTAAGTAGCTGGATTAAACCTAAATAAAAGTATCTCTATATAATTTAGAGTATAGATTTATTTAGAACTAATACTTTACTATTGTGCTTAAAAATGGTTTATGAAAATAATACAAAATAATAAAATTTAATTTAATATATTACGGTTTAAGATTAATGTTAAAGTAAATTCTAACAAACAATCTAAAGCTCAGAAGTTTAAAACTCATTTAAAAATAGTTCATTAAATTTATATAATCAAGAGGGTAACATAAGTGTAAGTATAGGAAATAATCACATTTTTTTGGACTCCTGTTTAACAAAACTGCAATAATTTCATATTAAAACTAAGATCGAATTGAGATAATTAAATATTCCTGACTTCATAATATTTTAAAATGAAAATTCTTTTTATATCTACTCTTGTAAACAAAATAAATTATTGGTCTAAATCAATAGAAATTAATTTGAAGTACTTGAAGCTAAACAAACATATTTTATAGTAAATAAAAATACATCAAATTCATTAAGAATAATCTAATTTAAAGAAGAGTAGTTGCTCTAATA